AGGGTTTAGGGCTTAGGGTACAGGAGTTTAAAGGTGCTGTGGGTGCAATCGCAGGTGGTGTCGGCTTCGGCTCGCAGGTAACATGAGCCTTGCAAGACAACCGTAAACCATTCTTTGGCACCGCTGCGAGATACTTTGAATCCCTGCTGATTCTGTCCCCTAAACCCTAAACCCTANNCTGGCAGGCATAGAGGACCAGGCGGCACTTCGTGTCGAGGTTTCCGCGGCAAGCTTGTTCTTCGTTGCTTTGAGGACTTCGATTCTGATCAAAGCAACCTACAGTCTCCATTGTACTTCCTTGTTCTGGTTTAGGGTTTAGGGTTTAGGGCCAAAGCTTAGGGTTGAGGGTTTAGGGTTTCGGCTCCTAAATATCCTGTAATATACGACTGGCTAACCCAAAGGGAACTACAACGGACACGGAAGGTAAACTCCATCAAAGCGAGAACTTTAAAACTTTCTGGGTTTATATTGGGGTCACTAGAGACAAGAAAACCCTGGGTTCGGGCTTTTGGGATTCATTTTAGGGTTTAGGATTTGAGGTTTGGGGCTTTGGGGTTTAGGGGGTTTAGGGGGTTTCGGATTTGAGGTTTAGGGCTTAGGGGTTTAGGGTTTGGGGCTCTTGGGGGTTTTTGGGGGTCTAGCGTTTAAGGATTGAGGGTTTTGAGAGTTCAGGGTTTATGGCCCGGGGTCCCGGCTTTGGAGTTCAAGGGTCCTAGGTTCCCGAGTAGTACCCTTTTGCCCTTTTTACTTGGGGGGTCTCCTTATTTAAAGCCGAATATTAGCAAAAAGGGTGCCCTTGTTGTTAGGGGGTTACTGGGGAACCTAGGGTTCTTAGGGCTTGGGCCTGGGAGATCGAGGGGGAGGGGAGTGGAGTCGGGCTTTTGGCCAAGAACACGGCAAGGAGGGTCCTTCGACCATGTAGTTGTTGTTGAATTATAGGGCTTAGGAGTCTAGGGCTTTTAGGTTTAGGGTTTAGGGTTTAGGTTTAGTGGGTTTTGTGTCCGTGTGTATTGGTTGGGGTGAGTCGGAGGAATGGCACAGTTTCTTTTACGTTTCGTCGCTTTGCCAGCAGAAGTTGTAAGAGTTCTTTTAGTGGCGACATAAATCATTCTCCGGATCCCTAGTACCCTAAATCCTGAACCCTAAATCCTACATTTTCGGGTAAAGAAAGTTCTGTGAGGGTTTGAGCAGTTCGGGAGAGGCTGTGAGCGTATGGTGTTTCAGCCAAGTCGCATGGCTCCGTAGGGCAAAGAGTCTAAACACTTTTGTTGAACCCGCAACTGGAATTTACAACACCTCAATGCCAATGCGTAAATCTGAGCCGGTAAACCCCAAACCTCCAAACCCTCAACCATCTATCCTACAGAAACCATAAGACAGCCCAGTTAAACAGAGCCCTTCTGAGCCATGGCTGTCGGGGGTCCGACGCTACTGCTGCTAGCGGCCCGGGGCTGCCTGGTGAAAATGCCTAGCCGTGGAGCTGGTTTAGGGTTCACTACTACCCTTAGCATCAAAATAGGCCAAAAGCCTTATATAATAGGGTCTTTGGGCCCAAGAGCCTCAAAGTATGAGTCCTTTGAGGGTGTAAGGGCTACATGTGTTACTACAAGGTTTCTTCTATGCAGAAGGGGCTCTCCTTCTAGACGGGTAAAGGTGCTCTAAGGTTTGAGGTTTGACGGCTTGTGGCTTTGGGGGTTGAGGCTCAAGATTCTGGTGTCACGGCTTTAATGCTTACAGAACATATTTTCAGCGCTTTGTACTCAGAAGCTGAAATACTTCACCTATTAATACGGTTTCGGGTTTGAGGTTTAGGGGTTTAGGGTTTAGGGTTCCTTTAGGGTTTAGGGGTTTAGGGTTCAGGGTTCCTTTAGGGTTTAGGGTTTAGGGTTGTAGCTGAAGCACGTGTCAGTTGGAGGGGAGCATCCCGCCTTTTCCCAAGCCTACAGAGCCTTCCTTTGAGGGTTGTCCTTTAAAGGCTCCTTGAATCTAAGGGCTACCTATAGGGGCTACTGATGTTCCGGAATCCTGAGCCAGGCTTTACGAGACCAAACCACTAGAACCCTGTAGCAACCCGAGGCATCCCCAAACCTAAACCCAAACCCAAGGGTTTAGGGTTTTGGGTTTAGGGTTTTAGGGTTTAGGGTTTAAGGGTTTAGGGTTTAGGGAAGCCAGTCTCTCTTGGCACGAGGTTTGGAAGACCGTGCGGCGGAGGCCTTGTTGCACCCTTGGGACCTTTGAGGGAATGAGAACAATGTTGGGCCAGGGGAAATGTAAAGCCTACACCCCGGACGTCACTCGCATTTTTTTAAAAGCTCTGGCATCATGAGTCACAAGGAACAGGAAGCCACCATGTGTTAGAGGAGCCTTTATTTGCAAGGACCCATGAAGGAAGCATGGGAATTCTCCTGAACCCTAAACCCTAAGCTCTAAACTGAAGCAATGCTGGCTGGGTGAGCTTTAGGGTTTAGGGTTTCGGGGTGTCGGGGTTTATGGTTTCGGGGTTTAAGGGTTTAGGGTTTCGGGGTTTAGTGTTTCGGGGTTTAGGTTTAGGGTTTCGGGGTTTAAGGTTTAGGGTTTAGGGGTTCAGGGTTAAGGGACTGTACATACAGTTACAAAGTTATTTATAATATATCCGGTTAGGGTTCAGGGTTCCGCGTTTATGCTTGACAAGCAATAAGATCCGCTCATTGCGCGTAGACACACGCATGTTAACCAGGCTCAACAAGCTAACAGTTTTCTTTTGTCGTTGCATCCATGGCGACCAGCGCGCCGCTCCTGGGTAAGGAAGGCAAGAAGGCCGCCCACAGCAAGGCATCCATCTTCTACGGAGCAGATGAGTATCTTGAGGAGCTTAAGAAGAAGTACGAGCACGATCATGAGATTGCAGCTCTGAAGAATGCTCTGCCAGGTGAGGGTGACCCGAACGCGGCAGGGGTTGCTCAGAGTAGCGACAAGATGCTCTCCGTTCAGAAGAACAATGAGAACAGGAGCTTGAAGACGAACCGGCTCTTCCCGACTCCTAACAAGCCCGACCCGATGCCGCAGAATCTCGCGTTCCTCTTCACCAAGATCACGCCGGACTGGGATCCCAAAGACTTCTAGGCTTGTTTTTGCTTTGTGCAGGGGATGCGATGAAAAAGAAAACATAATCTTTTCCAAACCTCCAGGAGCAGATGATTTACATGTGGAACGTATTAACGGCAATCTTTTTCACCCAAGTGCTGATGGTGATCGGCTACTGCGCAGCTTTGGCTTGCTTCCCGGACTTCTGGTGGACCTGCACTCTGTGCTTCGGCATCCCATTCGCGTACATCGCCATCCAGAACATTTACATTGATCACGATGTGATGCACGGAGCCACTTTCCCGGTGTACGAGTGGCAGCGCTTCCTTACTCACCCCTTTGCGGACTTTTTTTCTTTGCCTTGGGAGGAGTTTGTCCTGGAGCACAACAGGTACTGCATCTGAATCTAGACCCAGACCCCAATGATTTTGCACCCGATTCAGCCTGCATCGTTGTTCCGTTCACGCGTTTTGCAGTGTTGAACATAAGTGTGGTTGATCGAAGCCCTGAAAGTTGGAACACTCCAGGCATCATGCCTCGACGGTTGACCTGCTGATCCAGGGTGAGTTCGGGTGGGACCCCGAGGAGTTCCACTACGCCCTGCAGCAGTGGGCTGGGCCATGGGGCTCGAACTGGTACAAGTACCTGCTCACCGTGCCATTCATCCCTGTGACTAGGTGCCCCAGTAGTATCCTTTTGCCCTTTTTTAGTTTGGGGTCTCCCTTGTTAAGCCGAATGTTAAGAAAAAGGGTACCCTTATTAGCCTTATTATTAAGGGGTTACTGGGGAACCCAGGTGATCCACTTCTTTGGCCTGAACGATACCGGCTCGCTCTTCGCCTTGGAGTGGTGGATGCACTTCCCCGATGAGGGCGCAGGCGGCAAGTGCAACAAGGAGCTACTGAGATCAATAGCATCGATCGATCTCTGATTGGTTCATAGCGTAGTCTTCCAGCTGTTGCAAGCACGTCGGTCTGCCAATCCCATACTGATCAAGACCCTGACTATGTTTACCCACTGTGACTATGACTACGGTCTACGAACTGTACGACCTACCAGTACTGCCAGGAGTGCAAATCTGGTTGTTGCTGCCACGACTCGTAGTGCCATGATCAACTTACAAACTACCCATCTACCCATAGGCTCCTTAGTAGCTCTTTTTGCGAATTACCTTATAGGATTCTAAATATAAACCAGAAAAAGGAACTACTTAGGAGCCTACGGGTATGCCTGCCTCTGCTCCAAGCCGTTATTATTTAAGTCGCTGAGTAGGTAGCCTTTTGCCTTTTGGGGCTTAGATAATCTTACCATGAAATTGAAAAAGGTTAACCCTTTCTTGGGTAGGCTTATAAATTATATAATCCTACTGTAAACTGCAAGGGTTGACTTTTTTTTTGGGGGGTGGCTAGGGTACTCAGCCCCGAAGTTATTGACTTTGGTTCGATTGCAGGGCCTGGAAGCCATGACCCCGTAAGCTAGGGTTTAGGGTAACCATCTTTTGGGTGTCTGGGGCTCTTTTGGACTCTATTAGCTTTCGGTCCCTGGGGCTGGCTATAAATGTGAGACCTTGTTCTAAATCTGGATCGAGCTCCTGCCGGGCAGGCACCATAAGGGGTAGCTCAGGACAGAAGGAAAAATGGCTTCCTGTCATAAGCGAATTAACAAGGAAGCCTTTCTGAGAAGCCTGAGTTTTTGGAAAAGCTTGGGCTCGGAGGGCAGCCTCTGCTGCTGGGAGAGGCCCGGGTCCCAGAGAAGCTTTGGTTTCGTATTCGAGAAGCAAGCCCACAAAAGCAAAGACTGCAGGAGCAGCCGGACCGGCCCCGGGGGCTGTAAATGTGAGACCTTGTTCTAAATCTGGATCGAGCTGCTGCCGGGCAGGCACCATAAAGGGTAGCTCAGGACAGAATGAACTTCCTTTTCAAAGCAAATTAATAAAGAAACCTAGCTTGCTGAGAGGCCTGAGCTTTTGGAAAAAACTTGGGCTCGGAGGGCAGCCTCTGCTGCTGGGAAAGGCCCGAGTCCCAGAGAAGCTTTGGTTTCGTGTTAGAGAAGCAAGCCAACAAAAGCAAAGACTGCAGGAGCAGCCGAGAATGTCTAAATAGTTTTCTTCAAATGTGGTACCGTTTCCTGGCACGAAATCCACCCGCAATTGAATCTCCTCTTCCGAACCCAATCCGGGCCCGAAAAATTTCTTTAAATCGGAACCCTTTTGTTAATCAGATCCCTGGAGTACTGCTCTCTGCTGAACTAACTTCCGAAATACTCAGGTTCTGGAGCAAGTGGATTCCACGCCGCATCAAGCACAACGCCTTTGTGCTCGCTCTGTGGACCTGCGTGTGGATGCTGGGCACCTACCCTCTGGGACGTCCCCTGAGCGAAGGCTGGCGGTTCATGTTCACCGTGTCCTTCTTCGCTCGAGTCGGCTACTCGGCGGCTTGGATGTTCATCACCAACTTCACGCATAGCTTACCTTGGAACGAGTTCCTCGCACAAGATCCGGGCCGGACTTGGCCGGTGCTTCACAACGTGATGGCCATGGTGCTGGGTGGCAAGCACCGCTGGAACGAGATGCTCTTCCACGATGCGGCTCGGCTGTCTTTGCAAGCAGGTGAGTCCCCAGAGTAGCAGGCCACAGGATATGCAAGATGTGTTGTCGAACGCAACTTCATTCAGCAGTGCTCGGATGTCTCAGGTGTCAGGTTGCAGCAGAACAAGCGCTTAAAACTCAGGTGCATCATGCGTTCCCCAACGCGGTCGGCACGCTGAGCCAGCGCGGTCGCTTCCATGGCTGGGAGAAGGTGCACGATGCTGCCGCCGAGGTTCTGCACCGTGGACTGTGGAAGCCCAATGGTGATGAGGAGACCCAGATGCAGAAAACCCAGAAGAAGCGCTCTTTGATGATGAAGCAAGGCAAGTAAGTCCCTCCTTCCAACTTCTGAGCTTCCGGGAAACCCGATAAAGCTCTGTACAGAGTGCACCACAAGCAGTGATGGTTCCCATCCTTTGTCGGTGCTTGCATGTACAGTAATGACCAAGGTTCCTTCTATGTGAGCCGACTGCCTGGGAAGGCATGTTGCTTCCCAGACAATTTCCTTCGCTTGAGGTTGCGTCGCTTGGAAGAGTTCAAACGGGTGTACGCAGCCTGCCATTGTTTGTTCATTGTTATCATTGAAGTTATCATCATTAAGGTTCATGACCATTGTAACAGCTTGACATTGATATCACTGATATCTTTATCTATTGTGACACTTACCTTTGCTATCATGACTAAGCAGTAGTGTCTTCAGTAGCAGTCGTAACAGTAGTAAAGTGCCTGTATTGGTATTAATATCAGTGTCCGTATTCGTGCTCGTATGTTCGTATTCGCATTCGTACATCCATGTGTATCGAAATAATAATATATGCATACACATACACATGCTTATTTATATTTGGGGAGTGCATCGGAACACAGGCCCGTGTTTTGATGTTGTGTGGCGCTTTATGTATATTTACAGTTTTACTATCTATCTACTTATCTACCCATTTATCTATCTAGCTATCTCTGTATGAAACTAATGTATGTAAGTATTGTTCTAGAGCTTCCCGCGATCCCGATTTTTTCCGCAGTGCGCGGCCAGCGCCCTGGTGTGAGAGCAGCGACTCAGAGGCGAATTTCCACTGTCAAGGGCTTTAAACTTAGGGGCTGAGTAGGTATCCTTTAACCTGTTGGGGCTTATATAAACCTATTATAACTCAAAAGGGTGACCTTTTCTGGGCTAAGGTACTCGGCCCCTAAGTAAAGGGTTCCCTTGCAACCTTTCAAGGGTTCCTTTTATGTGGTTCCTTCAGGGGTCTACAGTGTCTAGAGATGTTTGGTCTAGATGTGTGGAAATATTGTTCATGGTCGCTTTTGGGACATTTTTCATTTTGTTATTGCAGGCTGTCGCAGGTTTGTTTGGATTTGACGGCATAAGGGGGGGGGCTCAGGGTTGCTTTTACTGATTCCCTGGAAGCGTTCTGTATGGGTTGCTTTTGGGATTGCAAAGGATGGGGTTTAGGTCTTGGGCTTAAGCCTTTGGATTTCAGATCCCGAAGCTGGCAGAAGAGCCGGTTTCGAGCAGAGGGATACCCCTCGTTGCGTCGAGCCATGTCGAGCTCATTCTCCAGATCTGTTCCAGGCACGCGATTGGCCGAGATCACGAAAGCCACCGACAAACCAGGGCGGCCATTGAAGTATCAGAAACAACTCAAGCATCTCCAAAGATTGAGCCGCAAGATAACGAGGTGACGGAACAACATGGTGCTACAGCGCAGTGTCATTTGATGCAATGCTGTCGTTTGGCGGCCATGCAGCATCGTGATAAGTACTAATGGTTTCAAAACGTTTGCAAAAACAAGATGCTGTCCCAGTCAGCGCAGACCACACCTTCTCAGGCTTGTCGGTCACGGCCCTAAGCCTTCACCCTAAACCTGCTTAAGGCTTCAGGGTTTAGGATTGAGTGGTTCAGGTCTCCGGCGGCTTTTGTCTTTTGGGTTTTCATCCTGGGGCAGTAGGCTTTACAGCTTGGGGCTTTAGGATTTGAGGGTTATGAAGGCACCAGGGCGTATTGCTTTAGGTGTGGGGTTTTAGGATTGGAACGAACCCCAGGGGTCCTAGGTACTGTTATGCGGGATAGTTCATCACATCATAACTATAATACTCAATCCTACTATAGAATCCCTACGGCCCTACAGTCTACCATAGAGGTACTTTGGACCCTTTGGGTAAACGAGCCCTAAACCCGCCCTAAACCTTAAGCCCTCAACCTTAAACCTTAGGGGTGCTTAGGACCCTTTGGGGAAGCCCTAAACCCTACACCCCTAAACCCTGAACCCCAAAAACCCCTAAACCCCTAAACCCTAAACCCCTAAAACCCCAAACCCCTAAACTTCCTAAACCCCCAAACCCTTAAACCCCTAAAGCCCTAAAACTTTATAGTGATCCCTTATAGATCCCTGTAAAGGAACCCTATACCCTTCTTTGGAGCCCCTTCTAAAGGCCTAAACCCCTTAAACCCTAAATCCCTAAACCCTTATAGATCCCTGCAAAGGAACCCTTATAGTACCCTTTAAAGGAACCCCTAAGCCCTTAAAGTACACAGAGCTGACACCTGCCAGGCGGAGGAAGCGCATGGGGCCGGCGCAGCGAGCGCCCGCCAGGCGAGCTCGGTCTTCAGGGCTTTGGGGGCTTAGGGTTCAGGGGTACTATAAGGGCTCCTTGAAAGGGATCTATAGGGGTTTAGGGATTTAGGGTTTGAGGGGTTTGGGCCTTTAAAGGGGCTCCAAAGAAGGGTTTAGGGTTCCTTTAAAGGGATCCATAGGGGTTTAGGGGTTTAAGGGTTTTGGGGGTTTAGGGGTTTAGGCCTTTGAAAGGGGCTCGAAAGATGGGTTTAGGGTTCCTTTGACGGGATCTATAAAGTTTTGGGGCTTTAGGGTTTAGGGGTTTTAGGAGTTTGGGGTTTAGGGGTTTGGGGGTTTACCAGGACCCCCCAAGTGGCCTTTAATAGAGCCTTATGGTCCTTATTAGTGGGTATTTAGGGAATATTAGAGGGTAGTTGGCGGGTCTAGGTAGAGTTTAGGGGTTTGGTTTGGGGTTTAGGTAGGGGTTTAGGGTTTAGGGGTCGAGGGGTTTAGGCTTTAGGGGTTTAGGGTTCAGGAGTTTAGGGGTTTAGGGGTTTTAGGGTTTTTAGGGTCTTTAAGGTTTAGGGCTTTAGGGGTTTAGGGGTTTAGGGTTTAAGGGTTTAGGGTTTTAGGGTTTAGGGGTCGAGGGGTTTAGGGTTTAGGGGTTCAGAGTTCAGGGGTTTAGGCTTTAGGGGTTTAGGGTTTAGGGGTTTAGGGTGTCCTGGGTATTTATGGTGCAGGTAATGTTGGGAGTCAGGTTTAAAAGTCACGGGTTCTGTCAGCTGAGATTCAATCAGTGCTTTGAAGCGTTAGAGTAGATATAGAGTCGATATAACATTATAGTTTTACTTTCTTGGTGTAGTTGTATATTAGATGAAACTATGTGTGCCTTCTTTAGTTCGGCTGGGGGATGTAATGATTGAGTTTGGTTTCATCTTCGGGTTGTGTGTTTGGTGGAGCTGTGTGTATGGGAATCTCGCGAATTCCTCATTTCTTTCATGGCATTGTAGCATATGGCATTGCTATGCTACCGCAGCCGTGACTGCTGCTGCCGCTGCAACCATCACCATGTCGTATAGTAGCCGCAGCCGTAGTAGCCGGAGTCACCGTCGTAGTCCTAGTCTTCTTCGTAGCAGTCGCGGTCGCAGTACCAGGTGCAGTCGCAGTTGAATTCGCCGTTCTCGTAGCCGCCGTTGCAGTCGCAGTCGTCGTCGTCGTCGTCGTCGTCGTCGTCGTCGTCGTGGGTGTTGAGGTTGGCGCGAGATGGCGTTGGTCCCAACGCAACCGGAAAGGTGTAGCGCTTTGGCATCATTTCCAGATTCGGCCATTTAACCCCACGCCGTGGAGTTTACGGCTTGAGAGATCCAGCATGAGGCAGAGCTCCGTGCACCTGAACCCAGAGGCCGAAGCTGTAAACGTCTAGCCCTGAATCTCAGACCCCGAAACCCCGAAATGAACCACAGCTGCTGTGCCCTAGCCCTAGCTCTGAGGCTGAAAGTTTCATGAGCGATTCTCTCACAGTAGCAGTTTGTCCCAGTTGCAGCTGCTCACGTCCCTTCAACACCTCAGAGTCGTCTATGAGGCCAGAAGGGGGTGGCTGTTTAGCTGTTGGGAAATGGGGTTCCAACGCCACATTGCCGACATCGTGCTGTTTACTCAGCTTACTCGCATCATCGTTGTTATCCCGTGAAAAGGGGTCGCTGCTCTGGTTACGATCATGATGTCGGGGTGATGATGACTAGCACCACCTGTTTGACAGCTAGCTACGACGAAGACGTTCCAAAGTTGCCCCGATGTGGAATGTCTTCTGGTGGTGCCCATGAGTCATTGAAAGTCAGGAGATTAGCTCCAGAAGTATGATCAGGCACAGTCCAAGGAGACCGGCCATTTCATCCATGGTTTTGGGTGTAGGGCTGAGGACTTACTTCAATTCAAGGCTTCGGTGAGACAAGGTAGTTTTCGGACGACCATCATATCCGGATAAGGAACCCTCTATGTGGTCGGGTTCAGCATGCGCAATAATTGGAGTAGGGTTTTGGATATACTATAGTTTAAGTTCAGAACCCTAAGGAATAGTATTGGAATCCCTGGCCTCACCTCTGTTTTTGCACACGGAGCGGCCAAACTTATCTGCAGAGGTGCGGAGTTTTCGCGTAGATTTGCTGCGGGATCATCAGCAAGGAGCTGTTGTCGCTCCTATGTTGCTCGTACGACCCGAAACCCTGAACCCTAAACCCTGAACACTAAACACTTAAACCCTGAACCCTAAACCCTAAACACTTGAACCCTAAACCCTGAACCCTAAATCCTAAACACTAAACACTAAAAACTTAAACCCTGAACCATAAACCCTAAACTTCCTAAACCCTAAAGACTAAAACCCTAAACCCTGAACACTTAAACCTTAACACTTAAACCCTAAGCCCTAAACCCTAAACACTAAACCCTGAACACTTAAACCTTAAGCCCTCAACCCTAAACACTCAAACCCTAAACCCTCGGCTTCGCGAGGGTCACGAGGGGAGTCCTCCTCTTGCCATCCTCGCCAGCTGCAGCCCTGGTCACATTGGGATTTTAGGGTCTAGGGTTTAGGGGTTTAGGGGTTTAGGGTCTAGGGGTTTAGGGTCTAGGGGTTTAGGGTTTAGGGTTTAGGGATGCTTGGGATGTCGGGGTTTGGGCTTCGAGTTTGGGTTTTTTGGGTCGAGGGAGTTTGGGGGAATGTTTGGAGTTTATCTGAAGCTCCTGCCTAAACCCTCAACCCTAAACCCTCCTCAAA